TATTTGTCCTTTGTGTGTGTGTGTGGTGTGTGTGTGTGTGTGTGTGTGTGTGTGTGTGTGTGTGTGTGTATGTGTGTGTGAGAGCATAGTTGTCATGTGTTGCTGTTAAGTGCTCATTGATCTTTTCTCAATCTATATATCTTTCTTTTTCTTCGTTTAACCCCCCCTCAAACCGTCTGCCTCCTTCCGCTAGAGAGACGAATGGATGACCTTTGACTTCCTGGCAATGAGTACCACGTCCACAACAGAGAGACGGGCTGAGAAAGAGCGACTGAAAGAGGAGGAGAGGGCAAAGGCTCAGGCCATTGAACAGGTGTGTGTTGTTGTTTTTTTAACACCCATTTTCTCTCAAATTCGTAATGACCATTTCCCTTCTACTGGGGTTGTCGTTCCACTGTCGGCCCAGCGGAGGGTGTAGACAGCCACGTGGTGTCCCTGGTGTCCTCAGCCGGCAGATTCACATGTATCTGTTATTTGAATCTTAATGCAACATGACCTGCATGTCTGCGTAAGAGGGAGATAAAAAGCGACCGTGTTTGTGTGTGCCTGGATCGCTCACGGCATGAAACCACTGTGGTAGTCCGTCTCCTCGTTTTGCCCACTGTGTGGTTACCAAGGTAACAGAGGTTGGCCCCTCTTGGACAGCAGTGTGTGTTTGTGTTGGTGTGTGTTTGTGTGTGTGTACTTATTGTTGTCTGCAGGGTGTTTTTGTCTGGATTTTTAGCATTTGTGCCCCTGTTGTGCTATTGAGGGTATATATAGAGATGATTAAAGTGTATGTGTGTTTGCGGTTCCCTCAGGCTGGTTTGCACAAATTGGAGTTAAACCCGTTCTGGAAAGATGGAGGAACTGGTCTGCCCCCAGAGCAGAAGGCTGGTACTGCAGCAACGAAAGGTAATAACAGAAATTACTTTGGGCATTTCCAAGAGTTATATAAAAGAACATTTTGCAGTTCTTTAAAATATAAGCACCTCAGAATAAAGCCTCCCTCCAAATTGTATTTATTGATGTTTTTTTTCATTCAACATTAAAACCAAGAAATTCTTTGTAGAAGAGGCAGAGCTATACTTTTTTGTGATGAAAGTTGCCTCAGTAGAGCAGAGTGCATGAAGCTGCAGTATTGTTAATTTTGTTACCTAACTAAAGCTTCACTGTTCCCCTCTAGCAAAGAAAAACAGTGTGCAATTCAGATTTCTCCTCCTGCTCTCCACGATCATACACTGCGCATACATATCCATGTTTACCTACAGCACTTTACTCTCTCTCCTCTTGCTGATTTCTCCTCATCCCTCATTTTTTCCCCTTCCCTGTTTTTTTTCTCCTTTTAGACCACGTCAGAGTAATCTTTATCTTGGTACATCTACTATATTACTCTTATTTCTAAAGTCCCAATGGAGGATTCAAGGAATTTCAAACAATCCCCAATGACCCCTCATCCCCACATTCATTTCCCACCTAAACTGTCTGTTTCAAAAGCGATCTGTGTGGTTACGTGTGACAGTCGCAGTCCTGCTCAAAATGAGATGTAGGTCTGTCGCAAAGGGGAATAAGCTGCAGAGTTTATTGGTGCGTTGGAAGTGCAGGAGAATTTTAAAAACCAGAGAAGACTACAATTATGAGTGCAGAAAAGTCAAGATGGAGGTTTGACGGAAGAATGAGAGGACAGATAGAGCAAGGAAGAGCATCCAAGTTAGGGATTTAGGGAAAGAGACAGACAGACAGACAGACAGACAGAGAATAAGCTGTGTTAAGCTGACAAGCAAATGCAGGTATGTGCGCATGTGTCTCTTATCTCTACACAGTAAGTACAGTTCCCTCTAGAGTTGGCACAGAAAGGCAAAATAAGCTGACGCAAACATCACGCACACACACGCACACACACCATAAACGTATACACACATGCACAGCACTACCAGCGACATCACCATCCACACACACCAACACACACCAATGACACACACACATACACCACACCACACTACACACACACACACATAAACACACACACACACACGAGATTCAGCTACGACACCACTGACACACAACTGATGCACTACTGGTAGTCTTACACGCACCGCTTACTTACAAACAGTGGTTGGGTTTGCAGTTGCCCTCCTTTCAGGGCTGTGTTATGACATTTAACATCGGTGTTTCGTTGCTTCTGTCTTTTAAATCATTACTTGCTCGCTGTCAGCCACGAATGTTAAAGCAG